TGGATCTCTGAGTTTGAGGCCAGGCTTGTCTACAAAGTGAATTTCAGGACAGCCAGGGCTACACAGAGAAATCCTGTGTCAAACAAAACAAAACAAAATTACCAGTGTCTTGGTGTTATGGTGCACTCCTGCAATCCTAGTACCCAGGATGCTGAAGCATCAAGAGGGTTTTGAGTTCAAAGCCTGCATGAACTACATAGTGAGCTCCTACCTCAAAATAAAACCCAACAACAAAACACCAAGTGTGGTAGCACATGCCTGTAATCCCAGCACTGGGAAGACTCAGGCAGGAGGATATGAGTTAGAATCCAGTCTAGGTGATTTGGTTATTTCTTTGATCAATGTGACAAAATACATGAGAGTTATAAATAACTTAGAACAGTTATTTCATCTCATGGTTTCAGAGAGCCTCAGATGGAGACAGGAGTGGCTCATTCTTCTGTGACAGGAGTTTGTGACCACTGTGAGCAAACCAGCACACAAAAATAGGAGGCCAGAAGCAGTAGTGAGCATGATCTTTGAAGACCTTTCCTCGGTGGCCTACTTCCTCCATATAGTCTCCAAGCACTTAGGATTCCAAAGCCTTCAAAATCGTGCCACAAGCTGGGTGTTTCACATGTGAGCCTGTCTGGGATCTATGCAAGAGGTCCAGAAGTGGTGGAAATACATTTTCCAAACACAATAGGGCAGGTGCACATATGAACTCACAGAGACTGATAGCATGCCCAAGGCCTGCATAAGCTCAAGGTGCTCAAAATCCAAGCTCAGAGGATGGGCAGTGGGCACCAAGTCCCACCCTTAACCAAGAAGCTATTTGCAATTGATAGCTTCTGGGAGAAGAAAAATCTGTTCTCTTCAATGGAGTGAAATTGAGTATGTCCAGGAGCAGTTGGTAACACAAACCAGACTCCATGGTTTTATTGTGTTTTTGGTGTGTTTGTTTTGTTAGAAAGAGGGAAAAGGACATGGATTTGGGTGATCACGGAAGTAGGGGAGGATCTGGGAGCATTTGGGAGAGGGAAAGAATATGCTTAAAATATATTATATGAAATTCTCAAAGAATAAATAAAAACGTCATAAAAAGTAAGTCTGCCGGGGACATTCTAGACTCAGACCACAGTGCTGGGCTATGCTGTTAGCTCCAGGCCTTTCTGGTCCTCAGTCTCTCAATAGTTGATCTGGGTGGCTCCAGCTGGTGGGAATGTGGTTGGAGGGTTGGTAGGAAAATGATGTTTACTCCACATCAATTGTTATGAGCAAGGAGAGTGGGGTCAACTCTGCTAGAAGGAATGACAGCTGAGCTATTCAAAGCCCTACTGAGCTTCTGGAGCTGGAGATGTAGCTCAACCAGAACAGTGCTTGTTGCATAGTGTACATGAAGCCTTGAGTTCAATCAACCCCCCCCACACACACACAAACACACACTAATTTGAGTGTTAGGGCTCATGCTTATAAGCCCAGCACTGCAGAGACAGAAGCAGAAGTTCAAGGTCATCTTCAGCTACATAAGATTAAGGCTTGCCTAGACTACAAGAGGTTGCCTCCTCCTCAACCCCCTCCTTCCCAAAAGAAAGAAAGGAGAATCTTGAGGGAGGAAGTGGTTTTTTTCAAGGGCCTGACAGGGAAATAAGTAAGCTAAAGGTTAGGGGCTAAAGAGGAGGTGGGGGAGGGGATAAGCTGCCAAGCTAGACACTTATCTGCTGTGTCACTATTCCCTCACACATAACCCAGTGCTCAGGAAATTGACTGAATTAATGGACAAATACAATTCATAGGTCCATGTAAGGGTCTGAATAAGGAGAATGGAAGGAAGACCAGGGTTCCCCCTTTGATTATGGCCCCAAGTACCTAGATCCTTTCCTTACCCTGCAAATTCTTCTCAGGATAGTAGTGGCCGTCTGAGGCACAGGCAGAATCAAGTGGGAAGTTGGGGTACCAAAAGTAGCCTTAGACTCAGTCTTATCTCCACTGGGGTATATTTGCACCACTGGTTCAATGGCCTCATAAAACTTGTGGTTGGAGTTCATTTACCTTTCCCGGGAGGCTGAATGTTCAAACAGATGAACCCCAGAATAAGAGAAAAGATATGGGTGTGGGTGGATGGAGGCTGGTGGGTCAGATGCACCATGGGAAGAGGCTGGAGCTGAGTCAGGCATCTGGGTGCCAATGTTGTCCTTTCCACACCTCACCACTCCCATCCTGTCCTTGATGGCCGAGCAGCAATTTGAAGAAGCCAATTCTGCCCATTTGGGAGAAGTTGGTGGGAAGGGAGCTAAGTGGGGGCTAGAGAAGCCATAGGTCTGTCCTGCCAGCTTCACACCCATGTCTTCTGGCGCCACTTTTCTGAACTTCAGTTTGCAACTCCACATACTTGTTTGGCAGAATCAATGAATGAGATTAGCCACAAATGCCCAATACCTATTAGCTATTACCGTTTGTTATTTCATCATTATTATTATTCTGTAGGGGAAATTCTCACATGCCTATGGGAGAGAATGTATACCATTCTAGCCTTTATGAACAGCAGTGATAGCTATAAGGACTATATTATTTCTATCTTGTACTTATTTATTGTGTATGTGTGTGTATGCACATGTGCATGCGTGCCTGTGCACACACATACCACGGCACATGTGTGCCAAAAGGCAACTGTGCTGGAGTTAGTTCTCTTTTCCTGTCATGTGGGTCCTGGGACCATCAGGTCCATCAGGGTTGGTGGCAAGTGCCTCAACCCAATGAGCCCTCTTGCTGGCCCTATTTGATTACTCCTTAAATTAGTCAAGTATTATTTTTCTGAGACAATATCTCACTCTGTAGCACCAGCTGTTCTGGACTTCTGGATAGTCCTCCTGCCTCACCCTCCCAAGTACTAAGATTATAGGCATGCACCACAATGCCCTTCTAGATATATTTTAAATATAAGACCCTTTTTGTGTGGTGTGGTGTCATATACCTTTAATCTAAGATCTGGGAGTCAGAGGTAGGCAAATCTCTGAGTTCAAGACCAGTGTAATCCACATAATGACACCTTGTCTCAGGCCCATTTGTTCCAGGAATATTATGCTTAGTAATACATCCCTTTGTTTTTTTTATTTGTTGTACAAAACAATAAGGGCCTTGTACAAATATGGAGCTTTCACATGCATCTCAGTTTGATTGGTTCTTCTCACCTCTCCCCAGCTCTCTCCTCATCTCCCTGCCCCCTCCCCACACTGTACCCTTTAACCCCAGTATTTGTCCCTTCCATGTTGCCCTGCCTTCCTTACCTTCTCCCTTGGAACCTTTTTATCCCCCCCCCCCAGTCACATGGTGATTCTTGCTTAGGAATCCATCCTTAGCAGATAGTTCTATTTCATTATCTGACATATACACATCCAAAGGTATGAACAATAATTACTTAATTATAATAGAAAAGGATTGGAAACAAAGATCCAGAATAAAGCAAATTATACAAAGACTAGAATGTGACTGATTGATTGAATGATTGATTGATTGTGGTGCTGTGGCTAGACCCCAAGATCATGTCCATGCTAGGCAAGCTCTCTACCACTGAGCAATTTAAAATGACATAAACAACGAACATATTGGTGTGTGCCTGTACTTCCACCTTTTGGGAGGGTAAGGCCAAAGGGCCAGGAGTTTAAGGTCATCCTAGACTATATAGTGAATTTGATGTCTGTCTGGGCTTCTTGAGACACTGTCTCAGAAAGAAAGAAAGAAAGAAAGAAAGAAAGAAAGAAAGAAAGAAAGAAAGAAAGAAAGAAAGGAAGGAAGAAAGAAAGAAGGAAAGAAAGGAAGGAAGGAAAAGAGAGAGGGCAATGGAGAGAGAGAAGGAATGGAAGGGAAGGAGGGAGAAAGGGAGGGAGAGAGGGAGGGAGGGAGGAAGGAAGGGGAAAACTCATTATTGGGATAATGAATTTTAGGACTGGAGACTGAACAAATGTGGCAAAGCTGACATTTCAAGAAAGACACTTGCTGCTGGGCTTGACCTGAATTCAATCTCTGTGTCCCATGGTGGATGTTGCCTTCACACACACGCACGCACGCACGCACGCACGCACGCACGCACGCACGCACACACACACACACACGCGCGCACACACACACACACACCAGAAAGAGGGAGAAGGGTGGGGGAGACAGAGAGACAGAAAGAAAAACTGCTTAGTTTCTGGTTTGGGAGACAGCAACTGTGGTCAATTCTGTGTTGAGCAGAAATGATGGGAGTTTGTAGAGAGCAGATCCCAGAAAAGGAGAGTCTTTATTTGGTTGCTTTTGTTTCTGAAATGGGACCTTGCTGCAAAACCCATGCCTTCCTTGGCCTTATGGCAATCCTTCTGCCTCAGTCTCTCAAGTACTAGGGCTACAGGTGTGAGCAACAATGGCTGGCTGAAACTTTGTAATTTACGGTAGTAACAATGAAGATGCTGATGAGGGCCTTTGCAGATACTCTGCGTTGCTATTTTTGTGTGGACAAGGAACCGCCCCATAAGCAGAGCAGGCAACTGTCACCCCAGTGACTGGGGCCTCCATCTGTAAAGTGGTGCAGATCATATCTACGTTACACGCTGCACATGTATGCCTTGGGTGCTCCCTGGGAAAGATGCATCCCTCATGCTTCTGGGTTGCCACATACAGTTCAATACACAGTGCTTGGTGAATGAAGGGCAGAGCAAGTGAATCGAGGATTAGGACAGCATAGGGGAAAAGGCACAGCGGGGATGAATGGAGGGTGGGATGAACAGAGAGGTGAATGACCACACTCTATGGCAGTCCTGGCCCTGACCTTTCTGAGACATTGTGGGATTGCAGATTGTTTTCCCTGGGTGAATAACCTTGGGGCTTTGCCCCTCCATGTCCTGCCCATATCATAAAACAGCAAACACCTCCTAATTAGGGGCAGGACTGAGGAATGGGGTGACTTTGGGGCTGAGCCTTGACAGTTGGGAGTGTTTATAAACTGGGACTCCAGACTCCTCAGTACCAACCTTCTTCCTCAGCTAGCTGCTCTCCGCTGCCAGCTCTCTCCCAGCACTATGGCCTTCAGTGGAAAATTTGAAATTGAGAGTGAGAAGAATTATGATGAGTTCATGAAGCGCCTGGGTGAGTGAATTTCTTCTTGTCCCTTCCCTGAGGCTGGCTTCTTACAACCAGTTCTGGGATAGGAGTGAGGCTGCATCTATCCATGCATCCAGTGTTCTGTCTACTTGTATGCCTGCATGACAGAAGAGGGCATCAGATCCCATAGTAGATGGTAGTAGGTCACCATGTGGGTGCTGGGAATTGAACTCAGGACCTCCGGAAGAACAAAGGTCTTCTGAGCTACCTCTCCAGCCCAACATCCTTCAATTTTAAAAGACTTAGAATCTTAGTATTTCTAGTATCTTCATATCTCCGGTTTGAGCTTGAGGCTCAAACAAGTCACATTAATTTTCCAAGTCACATTGGAATGGTGAAGTAGAGATTTGATCTTTAGTCATTCAAATGTTTGTTGTTGTTATTAGAGGCAGGGTCTCATGTAACCTCAAAATCATTATATAACTGTGGATGCTTTGAAATTCTGATTCTTCTGTGTCTCTTTCTGAGTGCTGTGATTACAGGCATGTGCATACCTATTTTATACAGTGCTGGGGACCAAACCTGGGGCTCCATGCCTGCTAGGCAAGCATTGTGTCAGCTGAACCATATCCCTAGGACCCTTTCTTGAGTGCTGTTACTATATCCTGCCAGGGAGAGGTGACCAGGGAGGTAATATGGAAACCAGGTTTGACAAGAAAATCCTTTGTTAGTCAGTCAACAAACTTCCTTCTCTCACTGTGCTACTTCATCTAGAGTGACCAGTTATTTTACTTCCCTTACACTGTTTTTCCTTTGTTTGTTTTTTTCTGCTTGCCCTTTGACAATGGTCTGTTGTGAGATGACTTTGACACTGGTTAGTTGCAAAGTGCCAAAGAGAAAGTAGATTTGACAATCTTATCAAATTTCAGTGTACTAGCATCGAGGCCATACAATTGTCACGGGTCAGTTGTAAGATGTAGCTCAGGCGGCAGACTGTTTGCCTACCATTCATACAGTCCTGGTTCCATCATCAGCATTGCACAATTCAAGCAGTCATGAATGTCTATAATCCCAGCACTTCGGAGACAGAGGAAAGAATGTCAGAAGTTCAAGGCCCTCCTTGGCCCAGGGCACTTGAGACTCAGAGAGAGAGAGAGAGAGAGAGAGAGAGAGAGAGAGAGAGAGAGAGAGAGAGAGAGAGAGAGAGCGAGGACTGTGGGCCTTCCTCTTGTGGTCATGAAAGGCCTTGAGAGAGGGCCTTGTTCCTGAGGTGTTGTGAACAAGCTCCTTTCCCTTCTGGGTCTTTATTTCTTTTGTGTGTGTGTTGAAGTTGTTTTTATTTTATATGTATTAGAGTTTTGCCTGTATATATGTAACTGCCTGATGTCCCCAGAGGCCAGAAGAGGACACCAGATTCTTTGCTGTAACTGGAGTTACAGGTGGCTGTAAATTGCCACATCGGTGCTTTGCAAGAGCTGCGTTCTCTCTCCAGCTCCAGGTCTCCATTTTTCTCCTCCGTAGAATAGAAGTATTAGAAGGCTGAATTGTGAAGGTTGCATCCAGTTGCAACCATTCCAGAACTTTCTGGGCTTTTCGAGTTTCTGCTATATTGGTATAGTACTATCGGAAGATTTGCTACTATTACTATTTTTTAAAAATTAGGTTTGTTTTTTATATATATATATATGAGTGTTTTGCTCCTATGAATGTCTTGGGTACCACAGTGCTACAGATGGTGTGAGCAGTCATGTGGGTGCTGAGAATTGAACCCAGGTCCTCTGCAAGAACAAGTGCTCTTAACTGTTGAACCCCATACCAAGTAGTTGTGAGAGACACAACCGCACCAAATATAATTCTCACAAAAAAAGAAAAAAAAAAAAAAACCAGCTTTAAGGGTTGGGCCTTATTGTCACCATTTTGTAAATGAAATCAGTGGGGGCAGTGTCCTGCTCAAAACACAGGTCTTATGGCAGAGTTGGGATTTGAACCATGTGCTATTTATGTCTCAGACACTATATTAGACCTGCAGGCTTGCCTGCCTCTGGGGAGGAAATCTTCCTCCCTAAATCACAGGATTATAAGTAGATCCCATGTGGATTGTCTGTTTGTCACTGGGCCCAGGTCTTCCAGCAGAGGTGATCGAGAAAGGACGAAACTTCAAGATCATCACAGAGGTCCAGCAGGATGGACAGGACTTCACCTGGTCCCAGGCTTTCTCCGGAGGCAACATTATGACCAACAAGTTCACCATTGGCAAACAAAGTGAAATTCAGACAATGGGGGGCAAGAAGTTCCAGGTGAGAGGCCTGTGGCTGCCCTTTCCTATCTCCCAGGCCAAAGACCAGCTTCTTTGTTTCAAATACGGTCCCTCTGCTCCCCAGGCTGAGGCTTCTGTCCATAGTTTAGCCTTCAGTATGAAAAGCTTTCTTTTCTTGTTTTTTAATGCTTGGTAATGGCTGCCATTAGCAAGGAACACAACACTGAGATACAAACAGCTGATGTGCTGGGTGTGGTGGTGCATGTCTAATTCTAACACTTGGGAAGCAGAGCCAGGAGGTTCTCTGTGAGTTCTAGGCCAGCCTGGTCTACATAGTGAGTTCAAGGACAGCAAGACATCGAGGTCTACATAGTTATAATGTCATAAGCAAGCAAGCAGACAAATAAAAATAGTCTAATTTTCTAAGCATGGTACATGCCAGTTACAGCACACAGGAGGCAGAAGCAAGCTATCTGTGAGTTCTGAGCCAGCCAAAGCTACATAATGAGACTTCAAAAAAAAAAAAAAAAAAAAAAAAAAAAAAAAAAAAGGCTGGCTGAACTGTAGTGGTGAATGCATTTAATCCCAGTACTTGGGAGGTGCAGAGGCAGGCAGATCTCTGTGAGTTTGAGGCCAGCCAGGGCTACAAAGCCCTGTTTGAGGACAGCCAGAGCTATCCTGTCTGTCTCAGTATGCCCCCCAAAAAAGGAAAAAAAAACTAGTATTTGCTGGGTTTTTAACATAACTCACTTCAGACACTGAATCATTGGTCTATCTATCTATCTATCTATCTATCTATCTATCTATCTATCTATCTATCATCTATTGTATATGCACATATGTAATGTATACTCACCTATGCATGCATATATGGAAACCAGAGGTTGATATTAGGATTGTATGCTCTTTAACACTTCCCACCTCACTTTTTGAGGCAGGATTTCTCATTGAGATCCTTTGTTTCTGCTAGACTGACTGGCCAGTGGGCCCTTGGGATCTGCCTGTCTCTGTCCCGCAGGGAGGGTGATGTGGTATGGAGGTACTGTTATAGGCACACACTGCCATGACCAGCTTTTTTCTTCTAAATATGAGTGCTGGGAATCCAAATTCTAGTCATTTTCTCCACCGAGTCAATTACTCCACTATCTCCTCCCTTCCCTTTGTTTTTGAGACCCTTGGGTGTGGTAGGCAAGCACTCTGTCAACAGAGCCAACCCTACATAGTATTTATTTTCTATTTTTTATTTTCTGAGACAAGATTTCTCTGTGTAACAGTCCTAGCTGTCCTGGAACTCACTCTGTAAATCAGACTAGCCTTGAACTCACAGAGGTCTGCCTGCTTCCACCTCCCAAATGCTGGGATTAAAGACATCTGGCCTACATGCTATTTTTAAGATAACCTAAGTGATGCTTAAAGATTTTTTAGGCAGTGGTTAGAGGTTTTATGCTGAATGCTCTGTCTCTCTCCTAGGCTACTGTGAAGATGGAGGATGGGAAGTTGGTAGCAGACTTTCCTAACTATCACCAAACCTGTGAGATTGTGGATGACAAATTGGTGGAGGTAAGTTTGCAAAGGTTCCTATTATTTCTATTTTAAAATTTATTTTTATTTTATGTGCATTGTGTTTTTGCCTGATTTTATGTCTGTGTGCGAATGTCAGATCTTGGAGTTAAAGACATTCATTAGTTGTTATATGGGTGCTGGGAATTGAACCTGGGTCCTCTGGGAGAGCAGTCAGTTCTCCCAACAGCTGAGCCATCTCTCCAGCCTTGTATTATTTCTGTTTTAAAAAGATGCTTTATGAAGCTCAGAGATAGCATGTAATCTGCCAGAGGTCACACACACAGTCAACTGATTTCTAAAGGAAGTTATTAGCCTTTTCTCAAAGACCAGTAGGTCTCTGCCACCCTGCCATGTTTTTTTCTCAAACAATTAAAATGCATTCAATCATGGTGCCAAAAGCCTGTGATCTCTACATTCTGGAGGCCAAAGTAGGAGGTTCTTGAAATCCAGGTCAGTCTCGACTAGAGTGAGACACTGATCCTCCAAATCACACACACACACACACACACACACACTCACACTCACACACACACTCACACACTGCAGGGGATATATTTTTAGTGGAAACTGCATGCCTACCTGCATGAGGTTGTAGGTTCAACCCTTAGTACTGCCAAAATCAATACTATTGAATTGCTACAATAAGAATATAATTAAGAATTAGTAAGTAGATGTAGTAGCATTGAAAAAACAAGAACAAAAAACAAAGATGGGCCACAGGATAAAAGTGCTTGCTACCAAGTCTGAAGATCTGGGTTCAATTCCTGGGACTCACATGATGAAAGGAGAGAACTAACTTCTGCCCCCACATGCACACTGCAGCACAGGTGCTCACACACACCAAGAGAATAAACGTCTCCTCTGCTCTGGGTGAACACTGGTCCCTTGGAAGATCTGATGAGAGATTTGAATGAAATGTCAACCAGTGGGCTCTTCCAAAGCAAAGTTTCCAGGCCTGAGGTGTGCAGGGTGAGCTGAGGGCAGGAAACCTACCTGAAGCTTCATGTCCACAAGCTTAATCAATCAGGCTGAACCAACCCTCAGTTTGCTCCTCTGTGTAATGGGAAAAACCTCCAGGGGCTTTAGGGGATTATAGCTGGAATAACGTGAGCAGGAGCCTGGTATGCAACAGTCAAAAGGAGCTGTGATAGACTAGGGGCAAAAACATCTGCAGCCTATCACTCTTGCTGTTTGCTGTTCAGCATTTTATCCCATTTTCTCTGTAGTGACTCCTGTAACTGACAGGGAATCTAAGCCCCAGAAAGCAGCATGCCTGCCTTGCATCCAGCCATCAATGGCCATGGTGGCTGGCCTTGCTTCCTCTGTACCCAATGATCACCTCTGGGGGAGCAGTACTGACTTCCTCTCTTCTGGTTGTTTCTTTCAGATCTCCACCATTGATGGTGTGACCTATGAGCGCGTAAGCAAGAGGGTAGCTTGAGCCACCAGGCTGGGCTCCGAGGGGCTACAACCCACCAATAAAAGTGCTCCATGAACTGCCAGTGATGGTTCCAGAGTGTCTTTGCTTCTGTTTATTGGTGTCTTAGGGCAGCCCTTTCCTGAACGGGAGTAAGAGAGCATCCGAGGATGGCTGCACCAGTCAAATATTGGCCCTAAGATGCCTATGGCTTCTACCATAGCACAGGGGGGCATGGATGTTAGATCTGGAGTACAATGCTCCTGGTCCTTGGGAGTGGCCACAGATGCAACATGGTGGCACATTTCTGCAGGCACTTTGTACCATCTGCCACCGTGTTGCTTGCAGACTCCTTGAAAGGCACAGTTCGGGGCTGGAGATGGCACAGCGGATAAGAGTGTTTGGCAGACATGAGGACTTGAATTCAAGTCTTTAGCACCAGGGTAAAAAGCCAGGCATGGCTGTGCTTATACCTATGACCCCAGCTATGTGTGGAGGAGAGACTGGAGAATCTTTGGAACTTCATGGCCTCTGGCTTACCTCCAGGTTCAGTGAGCGATCCTGGCTCAAGGAAGCAAGACAATGATGGAGCACAACACCCATATCTTCCCGTGGCTGCCATTCGTGTACACAAATACCATACACATATCTAACACACAGATAAACACATAAATGCAAGGGCACTGTTGTGCATGCGTAACTATCCCCTGAGCCAAGCAACTGCAATCTTGGGGAGTTCAGCCATGTCCACTTGGAAAGGGACTATCCCAGCTGGGCTTGTTGACTGTTTACAGCCCCTCATGGAGGGAGTTTGGGAGGGCCACAGGCCCCTTGGAACACAGCCTATTCCTACTGCCTATTGCAGTGGGAGGGCCTAGGGGCTCTAGGTCCTAGAAGACTTGGGAAAGGAAGTTCCATCTTTGAGGCTGTGGGGAAGCTTTTATCTCTGCTGGGTAAGGCTTTCCAGGTATTGCCTTTTAGGGAAGGAACACCCACACCCCTATATACCTGTGTCATAAAAAATTTTCTTGGGTGAAAAGGGCTTGGGATCAGCAAGTGGAAAAATTCCAAAACTTTGGCTTAGGGCACCAGTGTTACACCAAGTAGGAAAGTCACACCAAGGGCATGTTAGGTGTGTTAAAGCAAATACAGGAGTAATGAGAATGGCCAAGGCTACTGCAGAGTTCTATTTGCAGCATAAGCCAAGACCTCAAACAGGCTCAACTGTAGAATATGGCCATTAGTAGTTGGTTCATCCTTTGTCATGGGGTGGAGCTGGTGGTGGGGTTTGTCCTCTACATCCAGTATGTTCAGCAGCACCCCTAATCTCTACCCACTGGGTACCAAGAGCAGACACCCTCGATTACAGGAACAAATTGTACTTCTTGATAATTACTAAATGTCCTCTTGGTTCCCAATGTGACCCTGGCTGCCATTTGCTGGTACGATGGGCAAGGAACCCATCTCACAGGGATGAAGTGTGAACAGTCTACATGAGGGAAGTCAAACAGCTTTGTAGTCAGGGACCAGGCATTTATAGTATGAACCTAGAAGGAAGTGGTTCTCTTTGGAAAAGGAGTCTGGCTGTCTCCACCCTTCACACAGCTCAGCTCAGTCAAAGAACTACTGTATAGAAGCAAGGTAGGTTTTATGGTTTGTTTCTTGACATCTCCACTCACCAGCCTCCTGGGAACTAGGATTAAAGGATTGTACTACCTAGTACAACAGAAGCTGAACACTCTCAGGGTCCAGATGTGGATTCTCCTCCAAGTATAGGAGCCAGGCCTTGCACATTTAATCTTTCCTTGTATCTTTGAAGAATTCTCACATCTGTATCATGAGGAAGCCAACTAAACATGCTAATTCTGGGGCCCATCCCAGTTAGAGAAGACTCCAGACCACTTTGCAGCTTGCTCAGGTTTCAACTACTGTGTTTATCCAGACAACAACCCTGGGAGAGCCTTGAAGACCTTCTCTGTGCTTTGTGGTGGTTGCTTTTATTAATAGACAGGGTCATACCAAGTAGCCCTGGCACCCATTATGTAGATGAGGTCAGCATCAAACCCAGAGATAAATCTGTCTTCTGGGATTAAACGTGTGTGTGTGTGTGTGTGTGTGTGTGTGTGTGTGAGAGAGAGAGAGAGAGAGAGAGAGAGAGAGAGAGAGAGAGAGAGAGAGAGAGAGAGAGAGAGAGAGACACCATACTTGGCCATCTCCACCTTTTAACCTTTTCTAGTCATGATCTGGTATGACAACAAAGTCTTAAATAGAAATCCATGTCTGAAAGAAATCAGTGTGATGCTCTGGTTGAATGGGCTGTGATTTTGAGCCTCAGTGTTGCCCAGAGCTCACACCAGGGCAAAAGATCAATGGTCTCCATGGTAACAGATGAGGAGTAAAGCCACAGGAAAGAATGTGCCCACAGTGAATCCACTGCTCTTGGTAAACTCAGTTTACTTATCTGAATCACTCAAACCTAGAGCCCACTGCCTCAGTGTCTCTTGTGTACAGGGGCTCGAGTGTTCCAGTTCTTCACCAACAGACATGGTCCCTACATGTCCTTCACAGTCCTGTCTTTATCTTCATGTCTTAAAATTGTCACCCAGCAAGGCATTTGTGCTGGGTGAATACTCCTTAACCCCACATGATGGTTTTCCTGCAGGACAGAGCAGAGGGGACAAGAAGAGTAGATTGTGACATTCTCCACCACAGTGGAGGCTGTAGTCCATAGTTGTAGCACACACATTGTGGTTTTAAATTAGGGTCTTACAGTGTAGTTTAGGCTGGCCCTCAAAGCCACGAGCCTCCTGCCTGAGCCCACAGAGTGCCAGGATTGCAGGCACAGGCCACAATGGCTGGCTTGTTTGTTGCATTTTTCCCCCTTAACTTTTTGTATATGATGTATATGTTCCTGTGAGTGTACCCATAACATTGCATAAGTGGAGGTCAGAGGGAACCTTCAGTATTGCTTGAGTCTAGGTCTCTTGTTATTTGTTGCTGCATATGCCAGGCCAGAACATCTGGAGAGTCTCATCTCTCCAACTCCCATCTTGCTGTGTAAGTGCTGGGATTGCAGACACATGCTGCTGTATCTGGCACATAAGGATGTGCATTCTGGAGACCTGCTCAGCTTTTCACCCTTGTATGACAAGCACCCTACCCACTTAGCCATCTCCTTGGACCCTTATTTTTTGTTTCTTCTTTCTCTGTCTTTTCCACCTTCTGTGTTGCTGGGGGCTACAACCAGATCTCTGTGCATACTATCCAAGTACTCTGCCACCCAGTATTTGACCCTGCCACCTGGCTACATTCCCAGCTCTTGGAAGGTGTCTTAGCCAGGCAGTGCCCTCCTGCATCTGTCTTTGCTACTTGGGAGACAAAGATGGGAAGGCCAGTTGAACCCAGGTTCTCAAGACCATCCTGGGCAAAATAGCATGCTGTTATTGCAAACATTATAATAAATAACATTTTGTCTTATGTGTGAGGAACTGTATAATAACCACCTCTTATTTGGAGACAACACCTTGATGTACATTATATTGTTAATCATGAGATTCCCAACAGGCAAGTGCTGTCACCTCACCCATTTTAGTAGGTAAGAAGATGGGTTGGGAGGGGATGGCCTATTTGTCTCCCAACAGCGACTAACCATAGTTAATTATGTGGGCTCACCCTACAAAACTATGGCTCTTAGTTATTTGATTAAAAAGACTACTCTAGGAGTTGCTGTTTTTTTTCCCCAGATGTTGACTTAAAGAACAGTAGGTAAGTGGGTCCCTCCCAATCAGATAAAGGTCTTAAGAGCAAAGATTAAAGTTTCTCAGAAAAGAAATTTTGCCTCCAGACAGCAATAAAGAAATTGCCCCAGTTCTGGTTTGCTGGCCCACCCTGCATAGCTTAGACTTCCCTTTCTGTATCTGCACCTTCAGCCTGCTGGCATGCACTCTAAACTTCTGGGATCGTCAGCTTTCATGGTTGTGTGAGTCAATTCCTTATAGCGAATCTATTATGGGTTTGCCTCTGGACAGTGATGGTTGATGCAGGAGTAGGGTTCAAAGGTCAAGCTTCACATACTCCTGTTGTGGAACATTATTTTAAGATGTGTTACTCTTGCTTATGCTGTGACACATTTGTTTTAATTATGCAAAGATGTGTTGCACTCTTTTATGTTAAGTTTGTTTAACTCTGCGAAGCTGTGTTACTTTGTCTAAAACACATGATGGGTCTAATAAAGAGCCAAACATTCAACAGCAAGGCAGGAGAAAGGATAGACGGGGCTGGCAGGCACAGAGAATAAATAGAAGGAGAAAAAGAAAAAAGGGAGGGAGATCTAGAATCAAGAGAAAGAGGAGGACCCCAGGGGCCAGCCACCCAGCTACACAGCAAGCCAGAGAGTAAGAAAGAATGGTATGCAGAAATAGAGAAAGGTAAAAGCCCAGTGGCAAAAGGTAGATGGGATAATTTAAGTTAAGAAAACCGGGAAAGAAACAAGCCAAGTTAAGGCCAGGCATTTATAAGAAAGAATCAGTCTCCGTGTGTGTGATTTATTTGGGAGCTGTGTGACAGCTCCCCCACCCACCCACCCAAAAGAGTAAAGCGTAAAAGAAAACAAAACAAAACAAAAAAAAAAAAAAAAAAAAAAAAAAAAAAAAAAAAAAAACCAAGAACATACTTCTCTGCCTAGGGAAGCCCAGTTCCAGTTTAGAAGGAAGGGCTCAGGTCCAGAGCAGCTGTTCTTGCTGCTGATGGCTCCAGTGTTGTAAAATGTCCCTCACAGGCTCTCTTATTCGAACACTTGGTCCTTAGCTAGTAGCATTGTCTTGGGAGGTTGTGGAAACTTTTGGAGTTGGGACCAAGCTAGAGGAAGTAGATATCTAGGGACCCAGACTTGACATTGATAGTCCGGCTCTATTTCCTGTCCCACCTCTGGTCCTGATATATGGAGATGTGAGCAAGCAGCCTCATACTCCTGCCATGGCTGTCATAGCTGTTCTTGTTCACCATGGTTTCCCTGCCACAGTGGACTGAATTCTCAAACCAGGAGTTGAAATCAGTATTTTCTCCTTTACGTTGCTTTATTGAGTCATTATGTCTAACCCCCTTGATCTGTTTTACCCCTCATCTGCAGGAGACTCCCACAGACTAGAGAGAGGAGGGGAAGGGCCGGCCTGCAAAGAGACATACAGACAAAGAAGGATGAGACCAAGAACAGGTGAAGTGTTTATTGCAGGACACCTGGTCCTGGGAATCAGGGAGATGCTTCTTACAAACTCCAGTGGAGATGCTTCTTACAAGCCCCAATCCAGGGCAGACAGATATAATAAACTTGGACTCCAAACCAGCTGCACATAAATACAAAGAGGCTGGTATGGGGGGGGGAAGGGGAGCCAAAACACACAAAAAAATTAACAAACAAATGTGCAGGTTCCTATGCTAACTGACAAAATGGCAGCGCCTCATCTGCATCCAGCTCTTTCCTTTTACTGTTTCCGCGAGACATTCATCTGCTCAGAAAAGTCCTATCCCTGTTGAATCTGACTCAGCAGCGTGTGGCCGCCTTCCTGGCAGTCCCTGGCATGGTCTCTTGGTTTGGCAAATGAGTCAAAGAGAACCAAGATGGGAGACACGGAGTGAGGGCCTACATGGAGGCTGAAACAGAAGGGTCAGGAGTTCAAGGCCAGCCCAGCTATGTACTAAGTTTGAGGATAGCCTTAGCTACATTAGACCTGTCTCAAAATAAAAGGATCCTCCCCCACAAAAGAAAACTGAGATACAATCTTTTCAAAAATAAAACCAAAATTTCTTTCTGTGATCTTTTGCATCTTCCTCCCAGTCCTGATGGGTGAACAGCATGTCCCCTGACCAAACAACAAAAACAAAAGCAAAATCCACATCTCCACCATAAGAACATCCTAAGCACAGGCTATGAGTCAGAGTCAAAACATATTGCACATGGTGACAGTCTTCCTGAGCCCTCCCACTGCAGATACCCAGACACCGGCTTCTGTTCCAGCAATCCCTGGCCCATCAAGGCTGGTGTCATATAACATGTTCATCCCCCCCCACTTCTCAGATGTCCACAGCATTATTTCTCTTTACTATTGGTCAAACTCAAAGCTGGGGTGGGTTTAACCTTAGCACTACAAGCACGGAGGGAGGTGAGGACTGGATCAAACCTTTGTCTTCCTTTCAACAACATTCCCCCACCAGGGGGCAGTGATCCAAGTTCAACAGGTGAGCCCTAGCATCCCAAGGGTGGACTCTTCAGAGCTGAGAGCCTAGGAGGCGCTCTCCCCACTGCTGTCATCCACTACTAGCTTACACGTTGGGTTAATAAAAGACACAGCTTCAATGTGGGACAGACAGTGTGGCAATTCAAACTTTTTTTCTCCTACGGAATTTTCAAGTATCACAAAATCCCTGACACAGTATGTAAACAAGATGTTTCTGCAGGATAGAAAGCTAGATTGTTCCGGGAAGCAGCAGAATGTGAAATATCTAGAATGACAAAAAAGGTTTTGGGTTCAAAAACAAAGAGCAAGATAGCCACCGTATCTCATGGGGCCAGTGCTCAGGCATAAACACGGGCAGTAGGGCCCTTGGTGTGAAGCTAAGGAGAAAAATACACCCAGGCTGGATCTTTTGGGACACAGAGGTGCCAACTCACTCTTTCTTTCTTTCTTCCTTCCTTTCTTTCCTTCTTCCTTTCTTTCTCCTCCAGACAGGGTTTCTCAGTGTAGCCCTGGCTGTCCTGGAACTTGCTCTGTAGACCAGACTGACCTCGAACTCACAGAGATCCGCCTGTCTCTGACTCTGAGTGCTGGGATTAAAGGTGTGCACTGCTGCCCCTGGTTTTTCAGTGGCATCACTGTGAATAGTAGTCTTTGAAAAGCCCGGGTGTGCTACTGATCTCTATGCAGTTCTCAATGTCCAAGCCTCTTACCATTGGATCCCCCAGCTCAAGGCAATGGCCACAGAGCCATGTCTTTGTCCTCCAGGCACACATGGAAGAGGTTTCCTGGAGAGATGCTGTTGTGTGAGGTATGTCCCTGGATGTTTGGCTCTGGGTTGTTTGTTTTAAAGTACACAGACTCTCACTATTGAAGGGTAATAGGTTCTTTGCCTCACCTGGCTGAGCTCTTCCTCTTAGGTGTTCACCTCTTCAGTCTGGGTCTTCCAGGATTCTCCACGTGGTCCAGATATGGTCTAGCTGTCAAAACAACCTGTGGGGAACATGTGACCCCCACTGAAGAAGCTGCTTCCGTAGGTGGCAGTAAGACAGTGCCTGGGTTCAGCTGCAATGGCCATCTGCATGCTAAGGGATGCAGGGACTGGCACAGGACACATATCCAAGGGCTGGAGGGTTGGGTATGAGGTGTGGAGGGATGGACCAGTGTCTCCTGAGAGCAGGGTTCCTGAGCGGTGGGCCTGCAATGAGTCCCGATAAGCCAAGCACAAGTCTTGCGCTGGACTCTGGAACTGGGCTAGTGTTGGTGGCGGTTGGCTGAGCGTAGGGTAGGTAGGTGGTTGGAACAGCACTTGTGTGGGAGCTGGTGATGTGCCAGGCACCATGGCCAATGCCTGGCTCTTGACTGCAACGGCATCCTTGAGGACATTATCATATGCTCTGAAAGGAAAAGACTCAGGTGAGCCTTGGAGGGCAAAGGTCACCAGACATCTGCTTACCATCCTCGTTGAGTGGGACTGGAAGAACGGTGCACCATGCTGTACCAGTCTGTGATGGCAAGCTAGGACATAGCCTCACTTGCTCACCAACTACACTCTGGCCTCAGGTCTTAGCTTGGAGCTGCTCTGTCACACAACCCCTTTGATCCTGTGTAAGATCAGCCAGACTTGTCCCCAAACCCCTGTACCAACACATCCCAGCTGTTAAAACCTCAGAGGGTAATTTGTGCCCCATCTGCTTCTGTTCACTTCTGTATTCCAGCACTTGGCAGAGTACTAGCATGACTTTCTAGGTTCTTCTGGACCAATTCTGTCCCCAGTTGGATGAATCCTTAGCTTGTGGACACCAAGCAAAGGTTTGAAAACAGGAACACAATGGGTATTTTTTTTTGTTTGTTATTTCCCCCCCATCTCAAACAAACAAAACATTTTGAAAAGTAAAAACAATAGAGGCATCTGGAAGAAAGGAGCCTATGGAATCTACAATGTATTTCAGCAAGGATTTCCAAGGTGACAGCTGGCAATGACAAACAAGGCTGGCTTGGAGGCTGATACTGGAGTGGCCATCAGTTGTCACAACAGGCTGTGCTCTGAGAGTTTCTCCAGGCAGCCTTGGCTGTCCTAGAACTTACTCTGTAGACCAGGCTGGTCTTGAACTCAGAGATCTGTCTGCCACTGCCTCCCCGGTGCTGGCATTAAAGGCGTGCACCACCACCACCGCCACCGCCACCACCACCGCCACCACCACCAAGCTTGACTTGGGGATTTCCAAAAGCATACATGGCGTCGGGAGCAGGGCTAACGTTTCAGAGCAGGGTTCAGGCAGCACAGGAAGGCTGCTCCCATTGGGAAGCTGAGTGGTGGCTCTTTGGGGGCTCAAGGACTTCTGCTTCTGTCACCCAGACCCCTGATCGATCAGGCCAGCCTACAGAGGTTACTACTATCTGCTGGTGGAAGAGGGAGTTGACTGGAGGTAGCCACTTGAGGGCTCTTCTGTCCTGTGTGCCCTCCTGGCAGCCATTATAGACCTCTTTGGCTGCCAGTCTCTAGTTCACAGTGTTAGATCTAAGATAACCCTTGAAAGGAGGCCACTCTGGACTTGGCTGGCTAAGTGGTCAGCTTCACAGCTTGCCTGCGAAAAGGAACTCACAGCCATTCACAAAATCATACTGGGAATTAGATCAATACCCCACACAGCATGGAGTTCTGTTGGTAAGAACTCCTAGCTAGCTTGCCTAGCTAGCGTGCCTGCAGGCATTTGATCCCCAACACTAAACAGACTGGGTGTGGCAGCACACACACCTGTAATACCAGCACTCAGGAGCAAGGGGCAGGAAGATTGAAAGTTCAAGGATACCCCACTGGATACATAATGAGATTGAGGTTAGCCTTGGCTACACGACACCCTGTCTCAATAAAACGAAATGGTAGAATGAGTTCAGACACAGAGGAGCATGTGTCCCTAGCCCCACTCCGCTTTTCCCTCGCTCCCCTCTTAGAAACACAAATAGGCAACTCTCTATGCTCCTCCTCTTAGTTTTTTGAGACAGGATCTCACTCTTTATCCTAAGCTGACCTCCAGCTTTCCGTCCTTCTGCTTCAGTGTCCCAAGTGTTAGGATTACAGTTACATACCACCACACCCCACTTTCCATTGTCATGGGGCACCCGGCTCCTTTTACATGCAACACCTTATCTGGGGGAATCACCCTCCCTCGGCCATAGTGGGGACCAAAGGGCAAACAGAAGGTCAGGATTTCAGAAACAGCCAACAGGGAGAGGACTTACACCAGCAGGATTTCGATGCATGTACTGAGATGCTCCAGAGAGTAGCTTGAGACCCTCTGCAAGTCTCTAGTCCAGTAGGGAGATAGCTGAAGGCAGATCCTGGAGGCCCCAACACAGGCTGCGGCGACCACAGAAGGCTGGAATTTATAAAAGATATGATCTGCAAGAGAATTGCAGAGGCTGTAAGCATGGGAACACTTCTCCATGGAGTCTCCTGCTTGGTCTGCCCAATAGCAGACAAATGAGTCAATTCAAGGGCTAGGCAATGCTGGCTTTTTACAAATGGGGGAAGAGACTCATAGAGATCAGGTGCCATTGTTGGGTCTTAAGGGTTTTGGCATTCAGTTTCTGGCATCAGCCTAGAGGGACAATTTTTTAAAAAATGCTGTCTACAGCTCCCAGAAAGCTGCAAAGTTGCTTGCTAATGGGCTATGAACAGAACTACAAAGATCTTTATTTTTCTTTTGGTTATTATTGATAGACAGGTCCTGATTAAAGGCTATGTGTATAGCAACAATGTCTGGTCCTCAGCAGGCACTGAGAGTCAGATATAAAAGCAATGAATGGCTGCACAGGTTTGATATTCCTGACTTTGTCTAGGTTTAGGAAGTATTATTAAAAAATTTAAATCTAGGTTCCTATGAGAAAACTCCCCAGGTGAGTTGCTAGTCTCTATGTACTAGTGGCTTTTGTGTTAAGCTGCTATTTTGTCTATGTGTTATTCTATAACACTGGGGATATCCTTGTTACTGTGTTACTGTGTAGGCACTGAAGTGTCTGACATTCATGCATGTGGAGGTCAGGGGACAACTTGCTGGAGTTCTTTCCTTGTACCAGGTGGGATTGAGGGATCAAACAGCTCCATCTTCCCACCGAGCAGTCTCACCAGCCCCAGAAATTTTACATTCCATCAACACATCTGAAACTACGGTGAATGGATACAGTAGAATTCCCATACTCTTCATTGATGATATTCAGGGTCCAGTGCATTACTATCTGTTATCAATTGCTCATAACTTTCAATTACTAGAAGTTTTGCCTTTGGAAGTATCAATCACTTAGAGTGGTATAGTTAGAGCCATGGAGTCAGACTTCCAGCTTCAAATGCTATCAGTGGTCTTGGGGGAAGTGATTTCACTTCTTGAGTATACATTTCTTCATATATAAAATGAGAATAACTGAAATGACTTTGAGAGGGGTCGTTCTTTTTAGGCTTACTATTTCCGTGATGAAGCACCATGACCCTAAAGCAACTTGGGGATGAAAGGGTTTATTTGATTTATATAGCCTAACTCATAGTCTACTGAAGGAAGCCAAGACAGGAACCTAGAGGCAGGAGCTGATGCAGAGGCCACGGAGGAGTTCTGCTTACTGGCTTGCTCTGCATGGCTTGCTCAGCCTGCTTTCTTATAGAACCCAGGACCACCAGTCCAGGGATGGTACTACCCAAAATGGGCTGGGCCCTTCCTCACAGATCACTAATTAGGAAAATTCTCTACAGACTTGCCTATAGCCCCATCTTATGGAGGTGTTTTCTCAATTGAGGTGCCTTCCTCTCCGGTTGACTTTAGCTTCTGTCAAGGTGACATAAAACTAGCCAGCACAGAGTTACTGTGAAGTTCAAATAAGTTTTTGTACACAAAGGTCTGCAGGAAGGCACTTAGTAAGTGATCAACCAATGCTGGATAACCCAGAATCACCGACATCCCCGCTCTAGGTGTTTTCATTTTGTGGTGTGTCACTGAGCAGCGTCTCACCTGACAACTAGATTTAAGAATCTGATTTGGAGGGCTGCAGCAATGGCTCACCTTTAAGCAGTGTTTACTCTATATTCGTGGGGTAGGATCCCAACACCCACACAAGTTGTGCCTCCTGCCACTGCCTGCAACCCCAACTCTGATGAGGGCAGAGACAGGAAGAACACTATGGTTTGCTGGTCTCCAGCCTAATTGTGAGCAAGCCCTAGGTTCAAGGGAAGACCCTGCTTCAAGAGAATAGATAGAGTGACGGGCTTATTACTGTTTTTTGACTTCTCTGTGTATTCACACACACACACACAGAGTGTGTTCGGAAGATTACTGATTTTCTCCAAACAGGGTACCTTGTTTGTTTTCATGTGTGTGTGTGTGCACATATATTTTTAAGGCTTATTTATTTATTATACATACAATGTGTTGTTAGCATGTATGCCTACATGCCAGACCAGGGCACCAGGTCTCACTACAGATGGTTGTGAGCCACCATGTAGTTACTGGGAATTGACCTTGGGACCTCTGGAAGAGCAGCCAGTGCTCTTAACCTCTGAGCCACCTCTCCAGCCCCTGGGTGCACATATTTTCAGGTGTGCATGTGGATGCTAGATGTCAACCTCAGGTGCTATTCCTTGGGAGCTACCTACCTTGCACTTTGAGAGAGGATTTAACACTGGGACCTAAAGCTGGCCAGCAAGCACCTGAGATTCTCCTGTCTCTGCCTTCCCAGTTCTGGGATTACAGGTAATGTGTATATGTGTCACTCTGTCTGGCTTTCTATGTGGGCTCTGCATCTTGAACTCTAAACTCTCCAAGCTTTCACAGTGAGCATATTATCAACCGAGCTATCTTCCCAGCCCTCAAATAAGCCAAATTATGGCTAATGAAGATGTGAACATTGTTGCCTCCCCTCCCCCCACCCGTTTAATCTGTGTGATGACAGCTCTTTGGGAATGAGCTACTTGTGAGTTTGTGTGATTTAAACCACCTGAAAGGTTCCAGGTTCCCCTGAGAAAACTCTACAGGTGAGTTGCTAGTCTCTAGGTACTAGTGGCTTTTGTGTTAAGCTGCTATTTTGTTTATGCATTATTCTCTAACACTGGGGATATCCTTGCATTTCTTGGCAAAGTGGGAGTGATATGGGTGTGGGGCTCTAGGCAGGAAGGAGGGCCTTCTGGATGACAACCCCTCTTCAGCCACTTGATCTCAGCCCCTGCGCTCCTCCCTCACTTCACAGCGTCTGCGCCCTCACCTTGCAGGGTAACTTCCAGGAAGTAGTGGGCATACTCCTTGAGGCACTCTTTGGTCTTTCGGAGGCAGGTGGTGGGCCAGGTGTGGCAGTGGTGGTCCTTCTGGCTGATGGAAGCCAAGAGGTAGTAGTCCAGAAAGTGGGCAGGTGTGGGCAGGCAGAGGTCCCAGCTGAAAGCCTCCAGGAGCAGAAGTTCTGTGGTTAGAAGCTCCTTCTTGGTGAGGGAAAAGTTTTGGCTGCTCAGGATCCTCGTACTGTTTATCTGTTCCAGTTTGGGCACACGGTCTTCCCTGTCCTCAAATTTACCTGTGGGGAGGCAAAAGCAGAATTTACTAAAGGAAACTGAACCCGGGATAATAAATTCTCCCCTATGACATATCTGGATGGTGTTGACAAAGTGACAGGAAGTAACAGGTAGGAGGGACTGCCTAGGAACAAAAGGACACATTTGGACTGCAAATCTCCATGCCATCACTTCCTGCTATGTGATTATGATAAGACGGCTCAATCTATCTGTGGCCCCAACTGCAAGGGGAAGTGATGGCTTACGAGTCCACGAGAAAATGCATGGTAATGCTCAGACAGGTGCCTAGGACATTGAAGGCACTGGAGAGTGGTCACGAGTAGCTTTTAGGTTCTTGGGGCGAGGTTCTTGCACTCCCTGTCCAGCCCTCACCAAATCAGGCAGAGCCATAATGGCCTCAAGTCTGACCCCCATTCTTCCAGGTGCAGACGAGTCTGCCCACAGCTCTCCACTGTCCTCTACAGGCCTCAAATTCTAACCACAGTGGTTTTAGTTTGGGTTGCCTTGGACACAGGTTACTTAGAATTTGAGTTCAGAAAAGACCGGCAAATTGGGGAAGGAAAGAGGGAAAGGAAGAAAGCCCCAAAGGAATCATTAGGAGGTGCTGCTGAGGACAGCTGGAGTCTGACCATATACCAAGGGGTTCTGAGAAATGGTTAAAAATGCTGGCTTTAAAGCAGCCTTGCAGACTACAGCCAGGATTTCTGCATCTTCTTAGAATCCCCCATGACAGCGCCCCTTACCAGCACGAAGTAGTTTGGAAAGAACGACGCCCAAATTCCCAAATATTGTCTATAAATGTTTGTTTTCATTTAAATGGACTTGGATATATATATAATGCTGGCTTTAGGCCTTGGGTTCTAACTCAATAGCCAGAAACAGAGGGGCTTCTCCTGCACTGACAGTCGAGACCAGAAACGTCATTGGTCCACTTTGTGAGGCTATGCAGGCTGGAAACCTCCAGATTCAGCAGCACTCCTTTCTGGGGATACCACTCCACACCTGGCAGTGGACCTCATTGCTGGCAATTCTTTGAAAACACTATGTCTCCTGACCTTTTCTGAACAGCTCTGTAGCCTGGAATAAATACCCATCTTCGTTCTCTCTTCACTCGGCCAAGCTTGGTGTCCTTCACCTTCCTTGTAGGTTATTGCCTTCCCCAACTGAGCGCCTTGAGGATCAGCCTTGTCCTGCTCTCTGATCTCTGAGTGACAGCATAGGGTGCAGAACAGCTGCTAAGCAAATGTGTTGGGAAGGGCACAAATACCTTTGCACACCTGCTCATGGCTGTGGCAATTGATTCTCTGACCCACTTAGTCACTAGCTTCTCCATCTCTCTAGAAAGGAGTACCCATTCAAGGCTGCTCTGCAGACACACCCATATTAAAATGCAAGGGTGCCACTGCAAAGTGTAATGAAACTCTGGGCAGCCCTGGAGCCAGCAACAGCTCTTCAAGAGGGGAAAGATGGATGGACCTGAATTCAGGAGCAGAGAGGGTAAGTGTATATACCACAGGGAGGAAGCAGAGACCACTCTGGCCAAGTGCAATCTCCTCCCAGAGTGCAGTGTGTGGCTGCAATGGTGATGCCTGCAGAATGTGCACCCCCATGGAGAGTTGGAGCAGGTAAGTGCAAGGGCAAACTGTCCGGGGGGAGGGGGGAGGAGGAGCTTCTTCTATAGCTGCAATCTAGGCCACCCTGGTTTCTACAGCTTCATATCTAGGCCTTCTTCCTCATCAGCCGGATGTGGTCCCATGGACCCATGACCCTCCACTGGGGAGTGCTCTTTAATGCTCTCACACATCCTGTGTCCTTCAAAGCTTAGTTGAAAGGCCATGTTAATACGAATCACCACCAACCAATTCTAAGACCTCCTGTAGGTAGACAAATGAATGGACTGGTGGTTCTTTGTGGCCATTGGAATTTAATACTGTTTGTGCTTTCTCTGGGGGAGTTTGTAGTCCCCATTTTTCTCCAATGACCATATATTATTTAACTTTTTAAGTTTTTAAATTTTCCTTTTAAGAATATTTTTATTTGTTTAGTTTTGAGACGGTATTTTTATGTAGTTGTAGCTGGCCTCGAACTTACAGAGATCCTGCCTTTGCCTGCCAAGTACTAGGATTAAAGGTGTGTACACAATCACACTCTGCTTTTTAGTAATTTTGATTGTGTGTGTGTGTGTGTGTGTGTGTGTGTGGTCTGTTTGTCTGTCTCTGTCTGAGTATAGGTATGAGAAGATGGTGCTCTCAGGATCCAAAGGGTATTGATTCCCTGGAGCTGCAGTTAAAGGTTGTTATGGGTTCTGGGAACCAGTCCTCTGCAAGAACATCTCATGTTCTTAACCACTGAACCACCTTTCCAGCCCCTGACCCCTTTTAAAGATAAGTCTATTCTGTAACTACAAGAGTGTAACAGGCAAGATTGTATATTTTGAATAATCATTTAAAAGGCAGACCCCCCCCCCCAACCAATTACCTAGCTTTCCCTGAACCTTATACAGAACTGAGCTAATGCTAGTGATTGAGTTCTGGTCCTCTCACATGCAAGGGAAGTACTCTAGCACCGAGCCACACCCTCATCCCCATGAGGTTTTATTTTTGGGGGTGGGGGAGCAGGGGAAAGCATAAAGTGGCAGAGTTCCTAGCCCAGGCAGAATTGTTACTGTGCTGAGGGTGGCCCTGAGACCCTGGAGCAGCATTGCTGGCAGCCAGCCATCTATCTGGAGGCACCAGCTGATGTGTTCAATCAGATTAGTTTCCTCTGCTCCTCCCTGCTTTTCAAACCTTTCAGAACCTTACCACCAGGCCTGGGGGATTAGCCCCCAAAGGAGGGGGTCATGGCTTACTGAGAAGGGATCTCACTTCCCTGGCTCCCTCTACTCCTCATACAAGCCAGGGAGGCCTCTGGGGGACTCTCCACACTGCAGGTTACAGCCAGGCAGGGCTGGGCCTGCATCCTCAATGAGTTTGCTCTGATGCTAGCTAGCGGCATGAAGCCCTCCATCCAGACTGTTCTTTTGTTTATGACTCGGAATACCCTACCCCCCCCCCCACCCCCGTGGAATGAGAATGATCTGAGGACTGGAAAGTGCTTCACCAGTGCCCAGCACACTGTGCCTCACCATGTGGGTCCTCAAAGGAACCCCAAGTATCCCTAGGGCTAAAAAAAAAAAAAAAAAAAAAAAAAAAAAAAAAGTGAGTGTTTTTATCCCCAGAAGAGGCTTCATAGTCCCTGGCTCCTTTTTGTTGGCCACAATGACTTCAGCACACACATTGTTTCCCAGCACATACACACTTAGCAGTCAGGAATGGCTTTGGGTTTCCTAGCAGTACACATGCCCAGCAGACATTTCCTCCCCTCCTCCCACAGTCTTAAGTGGTCTAGCCCTTTGTCCCCACTGCTGCCACCACCAAGCACCATTATGCACTTAGTGGCTTCCTCCTTATGAGCAAGATGCACAGAAGACAGTTGTCTGCAATGCTGCTTCCAGAGAGATGCTGGGACACATCATCCACTCCCTCTCTGTGGGAGTCAAAGGCCAGGCTCTCTCCAACTTCCTTGGTACACTTTTGATTTTCAAAACTTCCTAATCTCTAGAAAGGAGAGAACAAGGAACACACCCAACCCTTTACCCACATCCCCAGCTGCAGACAGTTGGTTCATACTTATTCTGCTTCTGTGTGTTGTATATAAAATACAGGCTTTGTAGGTTATAGATGGGATATGCCACTACCCCCAGCACCACAACATCTCCTCCTGAGGACATTTCCCTACAAATGGCAAGATGTTAATAACAGTAATACATCAGCACTAATGCAATAACTTATCTTTTTTTTTTGAGACAAGGCCTCATGTAGCCCAGGTTAGCCTCAAATTCACTGTGTCATTGAGGCTGTCCCTGAACTCTGGTCCTCTTACTTTACCTCTCAAATGGTGAGATTACAAACCTGCATGCAATAGTATTCTAACGTTCAGTCCATATTTGACTTGATCCAGGGGTTCTGAACACATTTACTCTTTGCCTTCGTTTTGGATCCCAGAGCCAAACTAAGTTCACACAGAGTCTAAAATCTTTCCAGTCTTATTTCTTAGTGTTTTGAGAACACAGAGTCCAGCTATATTTTGAAATGTTCCCCATTCTTGATTGGCTGGATTGTTTCCTTGTGGTTAGACTAATTTTGAACAGTGTGCAAGAAAGCACAGAGGTACCAAGTCCTCCTTGCTGAGTCATCTGGGATTTACAGATACAGCCAATGTATTCCAGCAACATAAGGGCCAACTTGTATTGCTTGGCTAAGGTGGGGACATGGGTTCTCTCTGTTCCGAAGAGATGTTCCGTCCCCACCCTCCCTGCCACTGCCCTGAGATTCACATGTAACCTGTGAAGCCAAAGTGATACCTCTAGATGCAATGTCCTGTTTCCCAATAACTTTGTCTCAATGGCTTGTTATCATAGGTGATAACTTTCTTAAGTAAATTATGGCTCCAGAGCTGAAAAGGCTAGTTTACAGATATTGTCATTGCATATACATTTTTCTTTTAAATTTTTTACTTGTCTTAACTTTAATAGATAAGAGCCCTCTTGACACTGTTCTGAGATTAAAAACAACCACAGACTTATAGAAGGGTTCACAGTGGCTCCCAGAGGTCAGGCATGTAAGCAAAATACCTTGTATGTCCCATTTTCACACCCAGCTGAGTGGCAACCCCAAGATTGATGTACAAAGAGCTGGGGTATTCATGGCAGGTCACACTAGTGGACTAAATGGCCAACCAATGACAAGAATTCCACCCTACCCCCCACCCCCCAAAAAAAGCATTTTTTTTCTAAGATAGGGTCTCTTAAACTCTACTAGCCTGAAGCTCACTATGTATCTCAGGTCTGATGCTCTTGGCAATTCTTCTGCCTCGGCTTCCCAAGTGTGGGGATTACAAATGTGGGCCACTACAACTTTGTTGGCTTAAACTCATTTAAAAACATTTATTTTGTACATATAAA